TAAAATTCACAATTTATTTTCAGAAGTAGATAAGCCGATTGAAATGCCTGAAAGTTCATCGAAATTAGATGAGCGTCAGTTACGTGAAGAAGGTGATAATAATGATGCCAAACTTCAAGGTAAGTGGTGTCCGTCCGTCTGTCCGTACTTATTGAATGATTGGATAAATGGTTGATATTTGTTTTTAGATTTGCTGATGAAAAGTTCATCACCAAAAGGTCCCGAGGAAGTTAATCGTGATAATAAATCCGATGGCAGCGATGGTGAGTAATTATATTCGTCCGTCCGTGTGTCCGTTCGTTTTGACTGTATCTAAATTGCAAATAAAATTCACAATTTATTTTCAGAAGTAGATAAGCCGATTGAAATGCCTAACAGTTCATCGAAAGTAGATGAGCGTCAGTCACGTGAAGAAGGTGATAATAATGATGCCAAACTTCAAGGTAAGTGGTATCCGTCCGTCCGTCCGTCTGTCCGTGCTTATTGAATGATATATCAATAGAGATTTACCGGCATTAAAATTGTAATGTTACTAACCATTACATTAACATAAATGTTTGTAATAGCTACTAAAATTGTATAAGATATTACTGTAATGCTAAAAATCTGACATTACAATTGTAATAGCATTACAGTAATGCTTCGTTACAATTGTAATGTGTTACTGCAAAATGTAAATCTGTATATATCAATGGTTGATATTTGTTTTGCCTTTCTTCTTTTATAGTTGCGCCGTTCAGAAAGTCATCACGACGAGTTCAGAAGAACAAAGGTGAGAGAAAAATATCAACACGCTGCCTTCGAATTCGGAAATAGTTTCTTTGCTCTTTTTTCTGAAAAAATGTCTTTTACATTCATAAAACGCAATTTCAAGGTGTCTCCGAAAACAAACAATTTCATATAAGATTAGATTTTGGCCCTTGTCCCTTGAGTAATCTTTAATCTCGCCTTAAATGCCTTTGATTTATTCAATTGTAATAAAAATATCATTTGAGTTCATTAAAATAATGAGCCGTTTTTTTTCTCACTTTTATTCATCCGTCGGTCCGTCGGTCCGTCCGTCTGTCCGTCACTAATTATACGGTTACTGTTACTATTATTATATTTCAGATGAACCTATTCCTGTTGAATTGGCAGTTCAACTACTCGAATCTATTACACCTTCACTGGAAGAAATGATTGAGGATGTCTCAAACGGGACGGAAGTGTGCCACTTTGCTGTCGACTATTTTTTGTCAATCGCTAAATTGCGTTTTCCAGAATATGCATTTCAACTAACAAAATATGTTCAAATTGAACCAACATTATATCAAGCTAGCCGGCTTGATCACGACGATATCCAAATAATTTGGGCAAAATCTCATTTCGTTGTTTCACACTATAAAGCAGGAGAAAACGAAGTGACTATTTATGACAGTTTGTTCCGGCGTATATATGCGCAACAGCGAAAGATTTTAAATACTATGTATCCCGGTAAGAAATTCCTCCACGTACAAACAACAATACAGCCCGACACGAAGTCCTGTGCGATTTTCGCTATTGCAAATGCAGTTATGTTATTGAATGGCCAAAATCCTAGTGACTTTGATTGCTTGATTGATGAAGGAGGTAAAACCACGTCAATTCGTCAACATCTCGTCAAAATCTTACAAACAACTCAAATCAGTCTGTTCCCATCCGCCCGTCGGGAATAAATATAATTCTTCAATAAAGAAAGAAAAAAGATACTTGATGTAAAAAGGGATCCTGGGTTTTTGGTAGTTTTTTTAATCGAATGGTAACCAAATT